CCGCTGGCCCCCAGCGGAGCTGCCCGAGGAGCCTCCAAGAGCCCCAAAGCGCTGCTGTTGGGAGCCAGACCTTCCCGTGGCCCTGGGACACACATTCCCGCAGGGACAAACAGTGGCAACCCCTGACCCGACAGAGCAAAAGCGGCTTTTACTTTCAGATTTTACAATTCTGATGTGGTTTTTTTTTTTTTTTTTTCTTTTTAAATATTTAATATTGGGGTTGTTTGACAGAAATAGCAGGAATTTAGCCAGCTGCTCCCTGGCTCAGTGCCACGGTGAGCAGCAAACACAGCCCGAAGGCAGGGACAAGGTTCCGGCTCTACCCGAGGCTTCCTCCTTCCGAAGCACAAGTTAAGCATCAAAGTTAAACGAGCACCAAAAAAAAAAAAAAAAAAGGAAAAAGAAAGAGAACACCCAGCCCATCAGGCCTGCGTAAGACCTGCCATGTGGAGGAACTGGCTTTTTAAAGATTAAACACCACGGCTCCCCCCGCATCGCCCCCCGTTCGCTCACATCCTGCATCATCTCCGCTCCAGCCAGCGTCTAAGCACCACGGGAGCTCCCCGGGGTAGCCGAGATCTGAATTTCTAGCCACAAAAGTACTTACAAAAATAAAATTCAAGTCCCTTACAGGTCCCACAGGGAGCAGAGGAAGGCACAGAACCTGATTTCTGTTTTCTCTTTCCTGTCCCAGCTTGCCTGGGCAAGCAGATGTCCAGGCTGGTGAAGCAACAGCACAGCAAGGACAGGGCGAGTTTGGGGTTCTCCAGCCCTGGTGACCCCCCGATCCTGCTGGGATGGGTCCATGGGGCTGGGGATGAGTGGGACAGGGGCCACCAGCCTCTATCCTCACAAGGCAGGCGCTTTGCTTCTGGCTGGAAAACCCAGGTTTGGGGTCCCAGTAGGGAGAAACTTGACCGACTGCAATAATTAGCACGTACATCACCCTGGGCACGTGGTCACAGCATCTTTCACCCCCCAAAAGCTCTCCTTCTCAAAGGTCTTAAATAAACAGGGTGCAGCCTGGTGCAGCTGCAGCAGAAGGAGAGCAGTGGCAGAGCAAACCCTCCCGGGTCCCAGGCTTGTACCCAGACACCACTCATGGTGAGAAACCCTCACGATCGGGGACACACCATGGCCCCCCATCCTCCCCACGGGATGTGCTGGCACCCTGGCGTTGTCCCCAAGCTGCTGCCGAGGGACCCGCAGCATCACCCGGCCGAAAGGTGCAAGAGCCAGCAGGTCCTTACCTTGGGCGGGTCGAAGAGCTCCAGCACATACTCCTCACCGTCGGGCGTCCCCGCTCGCCGCAGCACCAGACGGCAGCGCTGCCAGCGCGTCCCGCTGTCCAGGAAGGTCTCGTCCAGCAGCCCATACTTGAGGACCCCCTCCTTGCGCACCTCATGGGGCTGCTCTCGTGACAGCCCCCATGGCAGGATGCGCTTGCTCAGTCCCGGCTTGAGA